AACCTAGAGCATCGTTTGATACACTTATTCGCGCTCGCAAAATAAATGCTCAATTCAAGGGGGCCCAAACACCACTCTAAACCCAAAAGCGCACGATTCACAGCAAAAGTGCACAATTTTTCTCCTGGCCGTCGCTTCTGGGGCTGCTTCTCGGCTGCACTAGTTTCGCTTTGCTTGCCGTGCCCGCCTGAACTCTCGCTTGTACTTCATCAAACATCGGGACAGAGATCGAATTGCAACAGTAAAGCTGTGTGCTCGTCTTGTCACACGAGATACTCTTCCAACGAAGTCCTCATCGGACCAGCAAGCTGCACCTTGATTGTGAAGTAAAGCACGAAAGCTTCCCGGACGTAGGCTGCAAACTAGCCACTACATATTTGTATATATTACCGGCCGGAGCCCGCCAAAACCTATACTGAACAGCCACCTGTGGACAAAGAATCGAAAGTACAAAGCTGGCCCCAGCATCGATCTGATGCTTCATCCACAGCCTGCTTCCAAAGTCTCCTACAAGCACCCCTAAACTCGAAATTATAAGAATTACTTGTAAAAACCTATATAAACTTAGACTTGCTTTGGCGAAGCCAGGGACACCAGGTGTAGTTGCATGTGCAACTTGGGTTTAATCCGGTACAAGCAAAGCCCACGGTTGGCTGCCATGACGGCTAAATTTTGATAGCCTTCCTCGGACATTTGGATCGCCCAAGTATATGTGCTGCATGAACCGAATTACATAAACATGGTGCCAGGGGTGCAAGCGAGGGTCAAGCATTTTCATACCCGATTCTACGGCGATTTTGGCGGCCTCGACGGGGATCCACATGCCGTGACTGTAGAGGGCCCTCCAATATATGTTGAGTGCAGCAGAAGTCCATTTTAAAAGCTGAAGCATATCCTTGAAATGGTCCTCAGTGTATGTTTTATAAAGTCTTATAAGACCATTAAAAACCCCTTACCCTACAGGAAGTAAGGCTTATAGCCACAATAGAAAAATAGGATCGTTATTAATTTGTGGCAAATTAGTATTAAGCTATTCCCAGGACGAAGTTGCTTTAAGGATATTCTTTGCTCGACAAGTTCCACCGAGATGCATCAACGGAGGCCGGATCTATTTGTGCAAGATAATCGTTCAACCAGGCAGCTAAGACGGGGGTGTCATAACCTTTCCCGAGGCCAGCAGGAAACATTTTCAATCTTGGCTCAGGGAGCACATCTCTTATAAGAGTTTAGGGATTTGGGTTTCAGGCGGATTTGGGTTACAGGTTTCGGGTTCAGGTGTTGCATCCGATTATAACTAGGCCTAAATTTTATAAGCAGCTCAATCAGCAAAGTACTCAATCTGCTTGTTTAGTTCAGCAGCGATTTAACTTTAAAAGTCTTCAGTGTGAAAGTCGTAAGAGATGTCGTCCTGTGATTTGCTTTGCACCAAACTTTGAAGAGCTCAAAGGCTTGACTCAGCTGCACTTGTATCGTACCAGGCCCCCAAAGTCCCATGTGGAGCAACAATATGATACTGCTTGCGAGGAAGTCTTTGCCCCAGCCAGCAATGGCATACGTGTGAGCCGGGTCTGGTACGATAAAAGATGGATCATCACCCATCAAGTCTCGAAAGGAAGACCTTGTAGATGCGAAGGGGCTGGGATTTTCAGCATTCCTGGGCAAGGATCTTGTTGTAGAGGATGGCCCAACATTGTACCAGTCCTTACATATCGGGGTTACAAATTTAAGCTCGCCTGCCTCATCGTTAGCAGGGTTTAGGGTTCGGGGTTAGGGTATAGTTTAAATTAATTAATGGTTGGATTATATAGGGTATCTATACTAGGTAGTAAGCATTGGGCCGGTGAGTATATAAAAAGCTACAGCTACCGACTGGTTTATTCAGCCAGCAACTTCGACATCGCACAGGTGACATCGCCGCGAGCTGGAGAAGCCTGTCTTCAAGTGAGCCGCAGCTCGAATATATGGCCAATCGCCTTTCAATATTGTCGGAACCATATGAAATTTGTAAGTGCGGGTTCCCCATTGAACCTTACATTCATGTTTGAGAACTATTCAAACAAGATCTAGAATAGCAGCTAACTGGATATTGCTGGTGCTATTGGCTGACTATAGACTCACGAAACAAGAAAACCCAGCTCATTAGGAAGTGCCACGGTAATTCCATCTTTGTAGCACTTTTGCATGTCCTTCACCATCGCATCGTGTAGCATGTTGAGAGTCTGTTTCTTGTAGTAGTTCTCGGAAGGCATGACGGTGAACAAAAGGCGGCTTGTGAAGCTGTGCCTGCAAACTCCACACGGTCGTATCTATCGAGGGTTACTTATATACTATATGATACAAACACAATTCGTGCATTATTCAGGCACAGCCCCAAAATGCATGCTTAATTGCCCAGATACCCTGATGAGTTCACGAACCGGGGGCCCTTTGCAGATATGATTGGTTGATACGACAGGATCATCACTGGCCTCTTTAGCTTGCCTCTCCCTTCATCCCCGTGGCAAGCCACAGGGATGGCGAACCGTAAATCCAAAGAGCCTTCATATATGCTATGGTCGGGGTTCACAAATCTGTATCGCTCCCAGAAGGTCTCGAAGATGGAGGTGAACCGATCTGGCTCGTTCAGGGTGTGGCCAGCCAATAGCATTTCCCCTCCAGAGACACATATCGAGCGAACCCAATCGGAAAGGAACAGCACCGGCCACTCAACCTCCTGCATTCGAACCTTTCCCTTATGGTTAAGGACCCTGATTGTTGTTGTACTGACACTCACAGGAAAAGTCTTTCCTGACCGGTGGATTGCAGCATGGAGGTTGCGGCACTCGTTGCCTTTGTTCTCAGCACATTGCCCCATCACTCGTAGCATCGGATCCAGGATGCCTCCGGCATCATGCAATCATATGAAAGTAGTGGTGTGTATAGGACCAGTTCGTACTTCTACGTACAGACACCATCTTAATCACTCCCTAGACGATACAGACTACGGGTTCTACGGCGGCCACGACGACGGCGACGACAACGGTACGTGTAACTACAACATGCAATAGCAAGAAGAAAAATAACAAACCCACAACAACAACAACAACAACAACAACAACAAAAACAACAACAACAACAACAACAACAACAACAACAACAGCAACAGCAACAGCAACAACAGCAACAGCATCAGCAACAGTTAATAAGCAACATCACCAACAGCAGCAGTAGCAGCAGCAGAGGCAGCAGCAGCAACAACACCAACAAGAAATGCATTGCCACCAACAACGACAGACTATATTACTATATATTATATACGACCACTACTGCACCACCCCACTAGCCCTTACCTAAAGCCAGGAGGAACATATTATATTATAAAACCCACAGACAACTTGAAACCTCAAGCCCTTTCACTCTAGCTAGACCCCAAACACCCCGAACCCCCAAACCCCAAACCCAGCTATGTCTAAGGAGGAAGACTGGGCCCGACAACTTGCTTGTCGGAAGAGACTCATCTGGAATCTTCTAGATTAAGGGTTTCCATAATAGCACTTGGGTTGCACTCCGGGTTGCACTTGAGTTGTTTGGTCAAGGGTTGGGAGGTTCGTAGGTCTGGGTTTAGAGTCGCAGGCATGGCATGAACAACAGCGGGTCAATCTGGATCTATTTTCGAAACATGCATGGGTTTCAGAGGCTTCGGGTTTGAGGAATTCAGGGTTCCAGGGTTTTGGGGCGTAAGGGTTAGGCATAGTTATCATTTAAGGGAGCCTCAGGGATGCCTTGTAGGTTTGGGGCACTCGTGGGTCTAGGCAGGCCCCTTAACTCGCTGTCAATATGGCAAGCCCTCCATCTGAAGATCGATAAGGAATTCTATAAAACTGTTCCGGAGAGGTGCACGAACCAAACACTACCCGGTAGCTCGAAGCCTAGTGCCTAAACCGAAACCAACAAAGACTAGACATATAAGCACTCCCAAAGGCCGTAAAGAAACCGTGTTTCTTCAATTTGTTGTTCGCCACCCTGGCCAGTCGAACCACTCGGCGAGCACTGTCTGCCTCGGTTCATTCAATAGTTGTAATAGCACACAGAAACCATAATAGCTATAGTACAACAGGTTATCTACATTATAATGTATAACATATATATATATATATGTATATTTATTCTTCTAATACGTAACTTTGACATCTATATGTAACTTTGATATATGGAGGTAAACATCGATACGTAATTCAAGAAATCTTTCCCGGCCACGAATGTTGCAACTGTATAGCTGAAGCACTCCCTCTTCGAAGCCAATCAAGAGCTCGTTGGCCAAGTCATCGTTCACCGACGACCTTTCGCTGGAACCTGGTGCAGGAGCGAATTCATTATGGGGATCAGCTGGGAAGTCGGGCACAACCCTAAACCCCTAAACCCTAAACCCTATGTATCTGTAGCTAAGCAGCTATCATCATCGTCGTCTTTGGCGCTTTCCCCATCCAAAGCATCTGCGAAGGGATTTCGGAGTTTGGTTTGCGGGGCTGGGATGCTTCAAGCCGGGCCTAGGTGCACACCCAATGCTATTCGTTTTGCAGCAGAGCGGATCCCCTCGCCCAGCACATCCGGGTCCACTGGCTTTTTGCCATGATGCACATGATTAGTCGCACGACAGCAACATAATGCTTGCAGGCATCGGTTTAGTTATCAGGACTTATGCAGGTGTGCAAGCTACTGGCTAGCTATTTATGTTGCAAGCATGTCGCTGGAAGGCGAACAACAGCAGCTAGGAACTAGTTCTTAGTCTTCTTCTCTTTCTTGTCCTTCTTGTCTTTCTTCTCTTTCTTGGGCTTGGCTGCTCGGGATGATCCGGGGCCCTTTGCCGAGGAGCCTCCCTTGAGCGACCTGGCCAGCGAGTGGCGGTGACGTGGGGCTCCGATTACACAGGGGTCTTTTGCGGTACAAAATATATATATATATATAGATAAATCTGTGTATATATATATATATAGCAAAGATGTCTAGGTGTGTATATATATATATACAGATATGGAGGTATATAGAATTATCTAGATATGGACACAGCTTGGGTTTAGGGTTTGGGTTAGGGTATCGACACAGCCCAGGACACGATTGGAGAGGGCCCCATATGTATCTAGAATATTAATGGATATCGAGGATGGACTTGAGCCCTGGCTACATATCGTACCATAGAAGACCTGAGTCATCCGTCGTGGTCTCCTATTGAAGCTTGGTTACTTTTAGGGCGGGAAGGTTAAGGTTTAGGGTCGTATAGGTTTTAGGTGTTCGGGGTTCACGGGTTGGGGGTAAAAGGATTAGGGTTTTTGGAGTCAGTATACAATGTGAGCAGTCTACACCTGACCAATCCACCGAGAAATTCATGAGCTACTGAAGCTTGCGAGCCTGAAGCCCCTAAGCCCTAAGCTGATGGAGGTTTCAATTACATAGGGCGGATACCCGGTGAGGGAAGCTCTGATGTTCATGATGCCTCGAGCGAAGCAGGTAGTTCCCCAGGATCACGTCTTGCTTCGTCACTTCGGCAAACACTTTCAAGACATCATCATTGAAGGCCCTCGACAAGCAGGGTTTTAATACTAGTTGCAGGAACCGAAAGCATGGCACAATTAAGAATGCCGTCTAGATGCTGGTCCGGGGCTTTGAGGACAACGGAGGCCTGCTTGAGGGTGAGGTCTTTGTAGTAGGTGTGCAGCTGCTGCAGGATCAACGTCATCTGCTCGTGAAGCCTATAGGGTTGACAGCAGGGTTCATAGGTCGATGCAGCACTTCTACTTTTAGCCGAGCCACGTCTTCGCCCGGGGATGCGTGCTTTTCTTCAAGGCGTCCTTAGAAGGTAGGGAGGTCACAACATTATATCCCTGGTCAAAACCTGAAGCAATCCCCTTAGGGTTTAGGGTTTAGGGGTTTATGGTTTAGGGTTTAGGGGTTTATGGTTTAGGGTTTAGGTTTAGGGTCGTTTTAGCTAGGACTGTCAGGCTCCAGGGTTTGGTGTTATTTTAACATATTTACAAGGGCACTTAAGGGTTAAAGGTTTGGGATTCAACATGATCATTAGAGACCAGCATCGATTAATCAGGGAAGTTGAGGTCGTGCCAAAGCTGCAGCATACAGGCCCTCAATCCAGAAGCCCTAGACCTGAACCCTATATAGGTGTGTCCCAAAACCTGAAACCAGTGCCCCCCCCCCCGACACTTAGTTGGCGCTTTGCAGACAAAACCCCGAATCGTGGACGGCAACCTTAAATTTATGCAATCGTCAGCCCCAAGCCCCTCTAAATGCTAGAGATAATAGGAGCCACAAAGCTGAAACAAGAAATAACAAGCTTGGTGGTCAGCCGGGCACACATGCATATAGTCGACCCTATACAATAAACGATGGAGGCCGTGGTCCCTTTAGATCCCTAGCTTAACTTAAGCCTAAGTCCCAACACCCTAAACCCTAAACCCTAAACCCTTAGAGACCCGAACCCACTCTAAATTACATACGATCCAAGGAACCAAGTGATCCTCGAGACTGTCTGCTTTTCTGCCCAACACCTCCAAGAAGGTGCCCAGCAACGAGGCAGGGGCCTGATCCTTGCCCAGCGTCGGGAAATTGATCCTGAGTTCAGATGGCACATGTGTTAGATTGTTGCTTTGGGGAATGGGAAAGGACACCTGGCTAGCTAAGCTATAGATAAGGTTCTTGAAGGAGCCGTTGGCAGTCTCAGTCGGAGGTTTCTCGGTCACACCAGAAGCAGCGATGTTAGCCAGGATAGCTTCGTCGGAGTCTTCCACCGAGGGGGCATCAGCTTCGAACAAGAATCCCGACTCGTCCTGCACACCCGGATGTGTATTGGACTCTATGCATGGCTAGCAAGTACAACCCCAACCCTCGTATTGTCCTCAGCCTCGATCGTACCCGACATGGTGGTCTCGGCCCCGGTCTCATCGTTCACTGCGAAGACCTCGCTCAAAATGAGCTTGGCCTCCTCTTCCTTGTGCATGGGGTTGACACGAAGCAGATTTCTCTGCCTTGCCCACTCCCAAGCAGATGCGATCATCTGCCTGAAGCAGCGAATAATATGTCTCGGCATGATTATATAGATTGAGGGCATGCCACATCCATATTGAACCAAGAAACTTAGTCCATCCATGCTGGTTGGCCAGCTGCTGCTTGGTCACCCACTGCCCATTCTTGCCACGGGTGTTCAGGGTCTTGGACCACTTCTTAACCCCGATTTCCATGGCCTCGAAGGTTCCATGCTGGCGGAGGAGCTCCCGTAGGCGTTCACCTGGGCCGGCGAGGCACAGGAGCATTTATGTACAGGCCGGGTTTGGGGGTTTATAATAATTACTTTAGGGTCCTTTAGGGTTAGGGCTTCAGGCTTATTATTAATATCAGGGAAGTTGTTGCAAAGCGGCGTCCGGAGGAGCTCTTGTAGAGAGCGAGGGCTTCGGAAGAGCATTTCAAAGACCCACAGGACTTCGGTGTGAAGTAACGACGAAGCCTCATCGAATTAGTCTTTTCGGGAGATCCCATAGTCTAGGGTTTAGGGTTTAGGGTTTAGGGTTTAGGGTCTGAAATCTATAAAGACTAGACACAGACCCAAACCCTATCTTCGAACCCTACTAAGACAGATATGAATATATATATATATATACATCGTGAGGGACCGTTATATATGTTTTGTCCTATTAAGACAGATATGAGAATATATATATATATATATACATCGTAAGGGACCGTTATATATGTTTTGTAATATATATATATATATAT